TTCGACCGTTTTCATTTCAAATTAATGTTTTAAGTTTTTGTAAATTTTATATATTTTTTTAAAATAATGGCCATCCCCTCCCCCCTCCAATATGAAAGTCTATTATTATGCTCTCCTAAGTAGAATTTTCACTTACGGATATCGATTTATTGTACCTATTCGGATTTATTAGGGACTAGTATTATGCTGTCCTGTACCTAGTTTTGAAAATAACCTCCATTTTAAGATTACGTGACTGCGTTTCGAATCATTTAAGTCTTTTTGACTTATTCGATATATGGGTGTATTTTTATGTTTCCCGATCAGTAAATTTTGAAAATGACATCCATTTTATGTTTACCCCACTGTGTTTTGACTTATTTAAGTTTTTAGAATTTCTCCAATATAAAGGTCTACTTTTATGTTTCCGGAGCTGTAGATTTTGAAAATGACCTCCATTTTAAGATTAGGCCACCGCGTTTCGACTTATTTGAGTTTTTCGGATTTTTTTCATATGAGGATGTATTCTTATGTTTCCGGAGCCGTAGATTTTGAAAACGACCTCCATTTTAAGATTAGGCCACCGCATTTCAATTTCTTTAAGTGTTTCGAATTTTTATCATAAAAGTGTGTATTCTTATGTTTCCGGAGTCGTAGATTTTGAAAATGACCTCCATTTTAAGATTACGCCACTATGTTTCGGCTTATTCAAGTTTTTCGAATTTATCCAATTTAAAGGTCTACTTTTATGATTCCGGAGCCTTAGTTTTTAAAACGACTTACATTTTAAGATTAGGCCACTGTGTTTTGTTAAGTGTTTTTGATTTTTCCTTTGAATAAAAAACAAAATACGAAGGATTAATTTATTTTTCAATAAATAAATAAAAATATCTAATCAAAATAAATAAAATATGTATTGTCTCATTTTTAATTTAATTTTAGTTATCTTTTTTAATGTTGTGGTCTCCTATCACAAAATTATAAGATTTCGAACAATTAGCTGAAAAATCTGAATATGGAAGGTTAAATTTATTACCAGTTTCTTTTCGACTTTTTAGTTTGTATTCTGTGGTTAATTTAACTTTAGCTTCATAATATTTATTTATTTATTCATACTCGAAAACATATTGATGAAACTTTGTATTGAAAAAATCTAAAAATGAAGCCTAATTAATCAAGATGCAGCGGCTTAATCATAAAATGGAGCTTAAATATTAGATAAATTTAAATATTAAAGATTAGAAAAATTTCAATACGTCTCGGATAACATATAAGTAGATCCTTATACTGAAAAAGTAAAAAAAAAAACTTTTATAATCCAAAACAGTGGCATAAACTTGAAATTGGGTCATTTACAAAATGGGGGAAATCTACTGCTCCAGAAACATAAAATTAGACCTTTATACTTGTTAAATTCTAAAAATTTAAATAAGTTGAAAAGCAATTGGGTAATCATAAAATAGAAGTCATTTTCAGAATCTACGGTTTCGAAAACATAAAAGTAGACCTTTAAATTGGATAAATTCGAAAAACTTAAAGAAGTCAAAATGCAATGGCGTCATCATTAAATGGAGGTCATTTTCAAAATCTACGGCTCAAGAAACATAAAAATAGACCTTAATATTGGATAAATTCGAAAAACTTAAATAAGTCAAAAGGCAGCGGCGTAATCATAAAATGGAGGTCATTTTCAAAATCTACAGCTCCGGAAACATTAAAATACACCCTTACATCGAATAAATCAAAAAAACTTAAATAAGTCGAAACGCAGTGGCGTAATCTTAAAATGGAGGTCGTTTTCAAAATCTACGGCTCCGGAAACATAAGAATACATCCTCATATGAAAAAAATCCGAAAAACTCAAATAAGTCGAAACGCGGCGGTCTAATCTTAAAATGGAGGTCATTTTCAAAATCTACAGCTCCGGATACATAAAAATACACTCTCATATGAAAAATATACGAAAAACTCAAATAAGTCGAAACGCGGTGGCCTAATCATAAAATGGAGGTCGTTTTCAAAATCTACGGATCCAGAAACAAAAAAGTAGACGTTTATATTGGATAAATTATAAAAACTTAAATAAGTCGAAACGCGGTGGCCTAATCTTAAAATGAAGGTCGTTTTCAAAATTTACTGATCGGGAAACATAAAAATACACCCTTATATCGAATAAGTCAAAAAATCTTAAATAATTCGAAACGCAGTCACGTAATCTTAAAAAGGAGGTTATTTTAAAAAACTACTCATACGATAACAGACCCACGCATCGAGAAATTAAAGATAATTAAATAAATAAAAAAAGGTTGAATTTGAAATGGAAAAGGTTGAATTTGACTTGGAAAAGGTTGAAATTGACTTGGAAATGCTATATATAATAACGTAGAAATCTATACAAAGCAAAGTCAAAAAACAGAATTATAAGTCTGATTATATACAGAGTACTAGGATACTTAAATTTTGTAATTTTCAAGTCAACCATGTTTTATGTTGAATAAAAAGCAATAACTAAAAAAACGTTGAACTTAGGTTACAACCAATTACTTCATAGTAATTGCAATAGTAATTAGTTCATTAAATGCAAGTAAATCTTGTCTATTTTAAAATCATTCAAAGGGGATCTTTAAGCAGTTAAACTATGGTAAGTTCAATTTTTCATAAAATCAAGGATTCTTCACTATTTTTTTTATAACTCCTAACTGGTCTGGAGATACCATACTTCCAGAAAAACATCCTAGTTTGATGAGCTTTAAGTCTATATAGGCTAGGCATATTAGCAAAAAGTGGGGGCTCTAGTTTTGATTTTCTCACTCTTTATGTTTTTTGGGCTGCTGAACAGGAATTTGAAATTTGCTGGCAAAAATTTTGCCCAAAACTTTGTTTTTTGGGCATTTTTTTTCAGTTTTCGGCCTATATCTCAAAAAGGAAGCTGGTCCATATAGTCTGTGGACCAGACCCCCCTACCGCGCAACCCTCCCCCCCTCACATCCATATAAATTTCATATCCTTGTAACTATTTATTAAAAAAAAAGCCAATGTTCTGACAAAAAAAAAAAGAAAGAACTGCCACAAAATAGCGTCTAAACATGGCGGATTGACGACTTTGACTTTACATAGTTTTTTGGTCACTGAGAATCAGCATTTGGCTTAATTTTGTCATAGTTGGTCTTTTATTAAAGCTGGATAGTCATGGAATAATAAAACATGAAAAAATAATCGGCTTAGGCAATCAAAAACACCAGTAAATTAAATTTTTTTAACTAAAAAATTTTCAAGTTGTAAATCAAGTGTCGTTTGTAATTAAACGGGCAATAATAACGGAAAAACATGCTGAAATAAAACATCTGGAGAATATATTTCTCTTTCTAAAACACTGATTACTTTTTAAAATATTTGAAGCGGTTCCTTAAAAAATGCACATAAGTGGTAGAAAAGCGGCATGCCTACAGGCCACTACCACACCATTCTGTAAATGGCTTAGTTATAGTGCTATAACAAAGTTTTTGGTACATTATATTGATTGTATTAACGAACAAATATTAATGCAATAATTTAATTGTCTAAAAAAATTAAACAATTTTTTAAAAACTTATTATTTAATTTCATTAATTTATTTTAAATTTAACTTCCTTTATTCTGTACGGAGGTCGGTTAAGAAGACCTCTACTGTAAAAATGATATAATTATAATAATAAAATTTAATTAAAAAATACTTTGCTGAATATCTTGCATTTTTCATTTAACGCTTTGTTTTGTATATTCATTGATTATTAGAGGTAATTTAAATTCTATATACTTCCACAGAAATGAGTCATATTAATATCTGTTTTATAAACTAAAAGTATATATACCTAATCTGAACTACATATAATGAATAGTTACCAGTTTGTTTAAAAAAAATCATATATCACTAATAAAAAAATTAATTTTTATTTCCTTTATTTTGTTCGGAAGTTTTGTATATATTTGTTTAAAATACTATTTTGAGTCACCCGGCAAGATCTTAGCTTATAATAACTTATTTTAACTTTTAATAAATGAGACATACGCCTTCCCGGCCGTACATGACATTGAAAAATAGAGCGGCAATCCCATAACAGTTCACTTTCTACGGTTTTTCTCATTTCTGAAAAGCAAAATAACTGAAAATTATCATAAAAATAACTGCAAGTGATCAAAAAAATTAAATTATATTTTTTCTAAAAAAAGGACAAATTATATATTATAAAAGGTGGGATTCAAATTATATATTTCTTTGTATATACAAATTTTTTTTAATCTAAAAAAGTTCCATATTGAAACATAGCACAGTTATAAATTTTATTATTGCACATATGTTTATTTTGAGTTTCAAACACTTTTATATTATATGACATATATATATTATTTTTAGGTGGATGGAAAAATGAGAAAACAACTAAAGTATCATTTTAATTCTGTATATTTTCACATTTATTAATTTTTAATATTACATTTTGATTTTTGTATATTTTTACATTTATTTATTACAATACATATATAATGTAGGAAACTTAGATTTATTTGTTTAGTAAACAGAGATTCACGAGTACCAAAATCAGCATTCAGTCAAAACCTAAATTAAAAATAAAAAAGATATAATTAACTTATTAACATTTATTTGATGCATAAAACGTTTAAGTAGAATATAAATAAGATCATGCATATGACAAAAATAACAGAGAAAGGACATACCTTGGGTTCAGAATAAATCTGCAACTGATAGCTTTCAAATGGTCAGAATCTGCACTGAGTCAGCTATAGGAGAATAATGAATCCACCGACCAAGCAACAAGTCAAATGGTGAAGGCGACTTGATCTTACCTCTTTAAGTGGCAGCAGCCAAGGCGGGAAGGCATATGCCCTGGCCGTACCAGTGACCCAATTAACTGGCAGGAAGGCATATATCCTATCCATACCAGTGAACCAACTCCTAATGGGAAGGATTGTATCCCGTCTGCAGTCAAAGGATTAAAATTACTTCATTTAAATTCTTTACTGACCTTTTTATAGCCTCGACAGAAATGCTAAAACACATAGCAGCCAGAAATACTGCATTGACCAATGCACCAAGCACTTCTGCACGTGCCCACCCAAATGTATTCTTTGACCACTTTTTTGGTGACATCTGTAAAATAATACATTAATGTTTTACTTAAATGGAAATATACACAAAATGAAGAAATTTACATTTAATAGTTAAGATTAAGCACATAGCATAGTATGTAATTATACTCCCCCCCCTCCACCTCCTGTACAAAGATTGATTTCTCTTACTTTTCCTGTTTTTTTCAGGCCACATTAAAAAAATTCATGGTTTTCAAAATAGTAGCCTATCTGATATAGATATGCAGAGACCTAAAAATCTCATGAAAATAGTCTTTCTTAAGACCCCACTGTTCTTTTTTAAAACTCGGGTGGATTGAGAAATGACAAATTTACAAAATTTAAACCTATAGTTATCAATCCTAGTGAAAATATTTTAGGGATATTGCGAGCTGGCGCAGCAATTTAAAATTTAAGGTTCTTTCTGATTTCATGACACCTAGCATACTGTGACCGCAGCGGCAGAAGAGCATGGTGAAGTTCAGAAACCAGCAAGAAATAACTGGTATGATGAAGAATGCAAAACCCAGATGCAAGGAATGAAGCAAGGAGGAGAATACTTCAACTGCTTACCAGAGCTGCTGCCAAGAATTTAAGGAAAAGAGAAAAGAAGCCAAAAAGACACGCCATCAGAAGAAAAGGTTATCTGACAAGAGAAAATTAGAGGCAATAAAAGAAAACTTTAATGCACAGGACTCCAGGAGTTTCTTCAGAGATGTAAGAGAAATTAAGGGGGATATAAACCTCATCTTAATTTTGCTAAAGTCAAGGAGGGGAACCTAGTGGTTGGCAAGGAAGCAGTTATTGGCAGATGGGTGGAGCATTTCGGGGAGCTGCTTAACCGGGGCAGAACAGAAAATGCAGAAATCCTTAATGAAATAGAAGTAGACCTTGATTCCGAGGTACTAGCCGATGACGACGTCCCCCCCCCCCAAAGAGGAAATAATGGAAATTGTGCAGGGTCTGAAGAATTATAAGGCGCCAGGCATAGGCAGAATTCAGGCTGAACTTTTCAAATATGGTGGAGATGAAGTTTGGGATGAGCTCCATAAACTTAATTATGATATATGGATGGAAGAAGAGGTCCCAGATGAGTGGAAAGTGTCAGCCCTATGCCCAATGTATAAGAAGGGAGACAAGCTAGAGTGCAGGAACTATCAAGGCATAGCACTGCTTGGCATAGCTTATAAAATACTATCCTCTGCCATTGGTAGGAGACAGATATCATACATGGAGAAGAAAGTAGACGAATATCAGTGTGGCTTCAAGAAGGGCAGATCGACTATTGATCAGATCTTTACCGCCCGGCAGGTGCTAGAGAAGTCACTGGAATACAACATCAACCTGCATCACCTCTATAATTGATTTTCAGCAGGCATACGGCTCAGTGGATAGGCAGGTTTTGACGAGGCATCTTCTCTCTCTGGGTGTGTTTAAGAAGCTTACACACTTAGTAAAAATGACTGGCAGATACCAGATGCAGAGTGAAATTACAAGGATTGCTGTCAGAGGAGTTCTCTGTGGTTTAAGGAATAATGCAAGGACACCAAGGCTACTTCTCTTTTTAACATGACCTTGGAGAAGGCGGCAAGGGTAATAAGAACCAACTCAGGAGGTACCATCTTACCGCTTCACACAAAACATGGCGTACGCAGATAACGCAGATTGTGGCAAGGATGCTCCCAGTACTGACAGGTGCATCGAAGGAATTTGAAACCACTGCAGCAGCTCGAGGTCTATGAGCAAAAGACGATGTACATGAAAAGTTCAAGACATCGCCACCATCAAGATCGGACACTAAACATAGGCCAACACGAGTACCCAGTATGCAGAGAGTTCAAATACCTGGGATCCCTTATGATGGCCGAAAATGACGTAGGATCTGATGCTGGATTGCTGCGGGAAGCCGATATTTTTATTCCATGCAGCGACTACTTATGTTTCGAGGACTATCAAGGAATGCCAGATTGATAATTTATAAAAAAATGATTTGGCTGGTAGTCACATACGGAAGCGAGACGTGGGTTATCTCAGTAAAACATGAGAGGGCTCTTGGAGTGTGAGAGCATAAGATTCTTAAGAGGAATCACGAGCATGTATGTGAAGAAAGCGTTTGGAGGTCACGATATAATCGGGAGTTGCGACAATTCTACAGGGACACAGATCTCGTTAGTGTCATTAAGGCAGGACGAATAAGATGGTTAGGACATGTGGAATGAATGGCAGCGGACCAAGTACCGAGAAAAATATTATATGGGCGACCTAGAGGAGCAAGGAGAGGAAAGCCACCACTCCGTTGCCTGGAGTATGTTGAGGCGGATTTGAGACAGCTTGGTTTCAGGCGGTGGAGGGGTGTCACATTGGACTGAGACGAGTGGTGACGTATTGTTGAGAAGGATAAGGTCCCTCGTGAACTACAGTACCGAGGAGTAAGTAAGTAGTATATTTCATACTCCAAGCAAGAATGAATTTATCTAGCATCATATATTATATGCATTTATCTAGCATTATAGACATGCCTGGTCTGGCTCCATTGGGGGCCCTTGATCACGAATCTGAAATGGGCCATCCTTACTAGGGAGGGGGGTGCGGAAAAGAAATTAACATCCCCAAAAATCACTTGATAAGTACGACTTCTAGAGATTTAAATCAACCAACAATTATTTTATTTTATTTTTTTGATTTCTTAATGATATTTACAACTGTATTAAAGAAATACATTTAGTAAAGTTGAACATATGGATATAATGACGTGAAAACACTTGTTGAGAAACTACCCAATGGTAGCACTCTTATGATATGTCTACATTAGGAGATCACGTGGCCATTTTCTTTTCAGACGCCTCAGAGGGTTATCAGGAATTGTAGAGGAAGCAAGGTTAGAAACGAGAGGGTTGGGATGATTCTGAAGTTCATTATGGAAAGATAGGTATTGGCATTGGGCCAGATCTGAACCATAAGAAACACTAAGGTCATTATGGATGGTTTTATTTGTAACAAAGTAGGGAGCATTGAGGATTTTACGAACGATTTTTGATTGTAAGGATTGGATACGAAAGGAATTCGATGGTTTAGTGGAGCCCCATAGCTCAACTCCGTAAGTCCAAATACCAAGTTAAACGTTTGTCCAGGTGGAGTCCAAGGTAGCGGTTTTGCTCAATATGGATAAGTGGAGTATTCTTAAAGGAAACAGGAAGTCATAGGTTTATGACGAAGGGTAAAAGTAATTTGGTGGGATTTATTGGAATTTATTTTAATTCTCCAGTTTTGACACCATTCTTCAAGATTTATGATTTGTGATTGAAGTATTTGGGATGCAATTGATGGGTCATTGTTTACTGTTAGGATACATGTGTCATAGGGATACGTGGATCACCATGTCATCAGACAGTGTTGGGATAGGTTGGGATGTCAGCTGTATAAACTGTATGAAGGATAGGACCTAGGATACTACCTGGAGAAACACCAGCGGAATGAGAAAAGAGCGATGAATAAGCTTTTTTGTGATTAACTTTAAAGTATCTATCAGTAAGCTAGGAACAGATAATGAGAAGTATGTAGGTGGTAGGAATTTTGGGAATTTGTACAGCAGTCCCGGCTGCCAAACTCTATCAAACGCCTGTTCAACGTCAAGAAAGACTCCCATATAGTATATTCAGTGCTCCAATGCTGGGAATACGTCTACCACACGATGACATTGCTGTATAGTGGAATGGGAAGTATGGAATCAAAATTGGTGATCTGGGATTAGAATTTAGGATGGGGTACAGGCGTTTTAAGATGAGTTTTTCTAGGATTTTGCCCATGATGGGTAAAAGAGTGATAGGACGGTAAGAGGAAGGGTAATCTGGTGGTTTTTTGGGGTTGTGGATCATTTTAACAATAGATCGTTTCCAAGGATCAGGAAAATATGTGGAACGGAGTACAGAATTATGTATGTACATAAGGAACAGAATGGCTTTTTGAGGAAGAAGTTTTAATATCTGGGATGTAATTAGGTCATGTCCAGGAGCTTTGCAGGAGGGTCCAACAATTATAAATTATAAAATATGTGAAGAAAAAGTTGATGTTATTTGAAATGTTAGAAACCTTGTCTTATTTTCTTTCCTTTTCCAAGTGCTATTTTGGTTTATACATTAAATGCTGATACAACTGACTAACTAATGCACTACTTCAAGAAAGCACAACACACTTCCACCCTAAACAGAAAGAACTTCTATTCAAGAAATTGAAAGACTTAAGAGAAAAATCTTCCACACAATAACAGAAGCGATGTGGGATCAGCATACTAACACATAGAGGAGAAGAACCAACAAAGAATTTTACCAAAACTGGTCAATCAATATCATATGAAATGAAGGCAAGGAGGTTAATACGGGCATGTGCTCAGAGCAATCCATCAAGAACCTTCTAGGCAACAATGAATGCCTCCACTAGAGACCACATGGAAGGCCAAAAACCAGATGGATAGATCTTATCAACAAAAATGCAATAGAGAACTGCAAAGAAATAGCGTAATCCAGCCAGAAATAGTAAAGGCTGGTGAAAGAAGGCAAAGATCAAATCTACCAAAGCCTGTAACGCCAAGAGAAAGAAAAAAAAAAAAAAAAAAAATATATATATATATTGAAAATTCAAACTAACGAATTGCATTTGAGAAAAATATAAAAACCATTTCTGAAAATTCAAAACATTAAATAAAGTTCTTTTAAAAATATTTAGTATTATAATGTTATTAAAGTCAAGACATACATAAATACAAGAATAAATAATAACCTTCAGAGAAAGAAAAGCAACAATAAGAGCAGCAACATCACTAAGCATGTGAAAGCTGTCTGCAACTAGTGCCATTGAATTAGTTATGTATCCTACTGATATTTCAACAAGGAAGAAACCCGCAGTCAAACCAAACATTGAAATGAGCCGACACTTTTTGCCTGAATATCTTCCCATCTGAAAAAAAAAAAAAATATATATATATATATATATATATACATATAACAAACAATTTATCTGATAGCACTAGAAAAATCTTGTATAATACAGATTCATGAACATCTGAAAGAAAATTAATAAGTTTTACCTTTTATTAGGTTAATCATTTTTATATAAAATGGGATATAATAATGTTAATTCCTAAAAAGTTAATTAAATAATAATCATTAAATAATGGCAATTTTCAAACATATGTTTAAAAACTGTTTACCACCTATAGTACAAAACTTTAACAGGAGATAAATAATCTCCACTTTCTATTTCAATACAAATAGATAACTGTTCCTACTAGTCCAGTCAACGAAGGGATTGTAGAGTGAATAGAGGATGGACAAGCAATTGATTTTGGGAATTTGTTGAGGACACTTAGGAGGTAAACATAATAAAAGTCACCGCCCCTACCCCTTCCAGTTCATGGAGCCTTAAAGGTCACTTTTTCCATATATCTTGAAAATGAGGCGTCACGGATGAAACATTGTCGTATAGAAAATTAAAGCTGACAAAAAGAAATTATATATTATAGTTTTCTATTAAAGTCTTTTATTATAGTTTTCGAGCTATTCACTAACTTAAATTACCTATTTTAGAAAAATTTATTTCTGTCTCACTTTTTTGTCAGACTTGTCTTTTTAATACCATGGCTTTTCGTTCTACAAGAAAATTGGATTATAGAAAGTTGTAGAATACAGTTTTTTCATTTCATATACATGACTATAATAAGGCCTATTTGGACTTACGGAGTTGAGCTATGGGGCTCCAGCTATGGGCTTCTCCAATAGTTCCAATCTTTCCTCTCACAATGTACTCAAGCAATCTTCATACCCATCTTCAATCAACCACTATCTGCCTACCTTTCTTTATCCTCCGAAGTTGCCCAGGGTTCAAGCATATCTCCTGTCCTTTTCAGCTCCTACATTAACGACCTTCATAATTCAATTCTCCATTGTTCCCACCACCTTTATGCAGATGATTTCCTGATCTACCTATCCTTTTCTCCCTCTGAGTTATTGGTAGCATTTGCCAAGATTCAAGAAGACCTTGATCAAATCAGTGCCTGGACAAATGTAAATGGATTAAAGTTAAATGCTGCCAAAACTCAGGCCATTGTCATTAGTTCCAAGCCCCTTCTTAGATCCCATACCAATTTTCCCATACTACACCTTAATGACCAGCCAATCTCCTTCTATTCCGTTGTTAAAAATTTAGGGTTTTTTATTGATCAAATTCTCTCCTGGAATCACCATATTTCTGACATCTCCCGAGGGACAATATCTACCTTCAAACTATTCCATCTTCTACCTCAACATACTTGTAGACTCCTGGGTTTCTCTCTTATCTACCCTACTTTGACTACAGCTGTGTGGTATATGATAGCCTCTAGGTGGAGCTCTGTGATAGACTAAAAAGACTAATAAATAGCTGCATAAGATTTGTAATTGGGGCTCCGAGATACTCTCATGTCTCTCACAATTATACTGAGTTAAGGTGGCTTTTCTCCCCACCCCGGAACACTTTTGAAAATCCCAAAACTGCTATATTTTCGCATTTTTTAAATTTTTTTTTTCCATTTTGATCATGAATAAGCACGTTTTCAACAAAAAATATTCTATACATTTTTAAACTAGATTAAATATACTACAATTTAAGACCAAAACAGGTTCAGTAAGTGTAATCATTTTTGAGATACAGGTGTTAAAAATCTTTCGAATTTAAAATTTTTAATGATGTAGAGATGCTCGACCGTGATTATAATATGAGAAGCAGTTGGTCGTGGGGTGCGGTCAAATAAATACTATCTATTAAAATAGTATTTTATCTATTAAATTTCATTATTAAAAGTAGCAGTATTAAAGTAATATAAGTAACTTTAACTTAAAACAGTATTAAAGTATTAAAAAGTATAAATGTAAAGTATTTTATCTATTAAAATAGTATTGTTAATGTCAGGCGTTAATAATAAAATATTATTTTTATAGATAGTATTGATTTGACCGCACTTCCCGCTCAACTCCTTTTCATATTAAAAATTCTTTCATGTTTGATCATATGCAATTGTCTTTATATCTTCATAACCTGTCACATAATTCATTTTAACATTTTAAAGGAGTGAGAGAGGGGGAGACAATTGTTCACAACCAGAAGACTGAAATTGGAATAAACATTTACATCAAGTGGATACAAAAATTGTAAATGAAGTGAATGAAATTTTCGAAACTTGAAAATGTTAAGCTAATTCTCATCTTTATGGCTTCAATAACCTTATAAGAATTAGTGAAGTAAACATTTATATAATTTATTATTTAGAAGAAGTAAATAAGGAAGATACAAAATCTTTGAAATTATAACAAGGCACTGATGGAAATATTATTTGGTAATAGACAGATGAAGAGAGTAGCACTATAACTATGACATCTACGAGAACCGAATGAGGTGGCAGAGGACTGTAGACGCCTATGCCAATGCTGCTTTCCCGCTGATTAAGTGCATTTCCTAAAGAACCGTTTCAAATATGTTAAAAATTATTCATTATATTTACTGCTGTTTGAGACACTTTAATCTTTGAACAGGTTGAGTATGCCCAAAAGATATTTCATTTTTCTTATGCCCCCTTTCATTTTTTACAATTAGACGGGCTTGAGGCATTATATTTACTGCTGTTTGGGACACTTTAATCCTTGTAGAGGCTGAGTATGCCCACCAGCAATTTATTTTTTTCTTATAGTTCCTTTTAGTTTCCTACAATTAGACGGACTTGAGGTATTATATTTACTGCTGTTGGAGACACTTTAGTCTCTATAGAGGCTGAGTGTGCCCGATTTTTTGTTTTTTTTTTGTTTCCCTGCTCATATCCTATAACTACAAAACAAAAAAAAAAAAAAACTAAAAAGGGTATAAGAAAAAACCAACCAGTAATCGGGCACACTCAGCCTCTAAAAAGATTAAAGTATCTCAAACAGCAGTAAATATAATGCCTCAACTCGGGCTAATTGTAAAAAACAAAAGAGGGCATAAGAAAAATGAAATTTCTTTCGGGTACACTCAGCCTCTACAAAGATTTAAGTGTCTCAAAAAGGTGTAAATATAATTCTTCAAGTCCGTCTTATTGTAAAAAACGAAAAGTGCATAAAAAATAAAATGAAAATTCTGTTGGGCACACTCAGCCTCAACAAAGATTAAAGTGTCTCAAACAGGAGTAAATATAATGCCTCAAGTACGTCTAATTGTAAAAAAACGAAAAAGAGTGCATAAGAGAAATGAAATTGATGTCGGGCACAATCAGCCTCTACAAAGGATAAAGTGTCTCAAACAGAGGAAAATATATTGAGTAAATATAATATTAAGGTGGCTGAGCACACTCAGCCAATTAGATCTGGATACCTGTAGGTATTGGGTGAAATATGCACCCTATAGTTCTTACCAAATTGCAAAATCTTCCTCTATCCAACAGTGCCCTGCATTGGTTCAAATCCTTCCTTTCCAATCGACCCCAGTATGTAGTAGTCCCAGATCAACCTCCTTCAAAGACACTTCCCCTCTCCTGTGGTGTCCCTCAGGGTTCTTCTCTCTCTCCTACTCTGTTTGCTATCTACATCAATGACCTTCCTCTCCTGATCCGTAACTCCCAATACCACATCTATGCAGATGAATTCCAAATATACCTGTCCTTTCCGCCCTCCGACCTATTATCTGCCACAAAAAAACTTCAAGAAGACTTAGGTGGAATTTGTGACTGGGCAAGAACAAAAAAGTTGAAGTTCAATGCGGATAACACAAAGGCAATCTTAATTGGCTCCAATCACCTCCTTAAAACTGTCCCTAAAATTCCAACTTTGTTCCTACACAATAATCCCATCAAATTTCACCCCACCATCAAAAATCTTGGAATAACCATTGATCAAACGCTTTCTTGGAAAAATCATATATCCAATATTTCCCGCCGTACCATTTCCATCCTAAAATGTCTAAATTACTCCCGTCACCTATTTCCTTTTGAAACCCGTAGGCTCCTAGTCACTTCCTTAATTTTTCTCCACTTTGACTGTTGCCACTTACAGTATACGGGGACCTCTCTGGGGATCTCCAGGTGAAACTAAAACGTTCGATAAATTGCTTTGTACGATTCATCTTCAGGATATCAAGGGACGCCTCTGCTTCCCATTTTTATGCAGAGTTAAAGTGGCTTTATCCTTCCTACCATCGTAAATATTTCCTTCCTCTTTCAAGACATCCAATCCCACAGTCCCTCATACATCTCCGAGCTCCTTCAATTCAAATCCTCTGTTCGTTTCCGCAATACTCATTCCCGTTCTTCTGATTTATACATAAGGGCCCACCGAACCACTGCTTTTGACAAATCGTTTATTATCCGATCCTCATCCCTATGGAACTTCCCACATCCATCAATCCAATACCCTTCCTACCTTTAAATCCCGCCTGTTCAATCATTTCTTATCCATCCAGTCCCCATAAAATTGTAAATAGATACTACTGTAAATATGTACATAAATTATTAGTTCGCTCTTCATTATTTGAACTCCAATTTTCTTTATCTATTTTTTATTATCAACTGATCAAAATTGGAAAGCAACTTATATGTATATGTGTGTGTATATATATATATATTTTATTTTTTCTCACCAAGACTGTTCAATTACTCTGTTTTTTTATTTATGTATCTCTGAAGCTCCTTAGCCCACATTTATGTCTTCCTGTATTATTCTAAAGCGACTTGTCCCAGAATAAATAAAGTATTATTATTATTATTATAGCCATCGTCACAAGGATTAAATCGGGTTGTTTTGAACGGGTGGGATTATATGTAAATATTATATATTGGTTATATTGGTGGATTTTTTATGTTATTTTAGTACAGAATTATATCAGAAATAATTATTTAAATGTTTTTCTGTAATAATTTATTTATGAAATAAGTAAATCTGAAATAACTCATTTCGAAATAAATTACTTTATTTCAACGAACGTTAAAATATTGAAATAATTATTTCAGAAATAAATTGACCAGTTATTTCATCGAGATCATTTTATTGGCAATTTGAATTATTATTTCATAAATAATTCATTCGTGAAATAATCATATAATTTATTTCAGAAATAAATTATTTCAAGAGTGTCCAGGTCTAGCAATTCATAACTATGTGGGTTAAGGGTGCATGAGAGGGGGTCAGATAATATGTTAAGATTCAAATTAGGTACTTGCATGGAAAAAAATCACATTAATCTGAGTTGAAATTAAATTAAATACCCAATAAACTGTACCCTTGACCTCGTTCCGAGTCAGATAATTTATCCAGTATAAAGCCGATTAGTAAAAGACAGATATAATAATAATCATTATTATTATTGTAAAGTTGTATGCACTGGTGGATTTACAGGGGATTGGCTTTCGTGCTGAAATCCCCCAAAATGGCCAAATCTTTTCTTTTTTTTTACGTTGGTCTATATTTATTTTTGTGAGTGATCTGAGGTAAATACTTAAAAAATGAAAATATGCTCTCTTTTTATTTTATAATACATATACAGATATTAAATGTAAGTACGAGTCAAGAACAAAATTTATCTCTAAAAAAGCATTATTGTTTTTTTTTCCTTGAACATCATTTCATGTAGGTAGTTTCTTTTATTTTCCCTCGGTAATAACTGTTTAATAATAAAAAAAAAATCTCAAAATTAAGTCCTGGATCTGCTACTGATCATACAAGATATTTTAATGCAATGATAAATTCATCAAAAATTTGTGTATAACTAAAACCAAACAAATCAAAATTTCCCATTTTTTACTCACCAAAACAGCTCTGCTGTTCTAATTTTTGTTATTGTTTTTAGGATTGTTTCAAATGTATGTAAGAAAGTTAATAAATATTTTTATGAATAAACAAATATTGAGATGTAATATCAAATCTTGAAAAGGGTATTTATCTTGAAATAATATGTATTTATATAAAACATATTTTATAAAAACAACTTCATAATTAGTTAGTCCCGATGATTACTGTAGAATTATAATTTGTACATATTTGTTGTTATGTTGTAAGTAAGGTCAGTAGCGGATTCAGGATTTAATTTTAGAACTAAGTTTTTTTTTTTTTAATGTTACTATTCTGGAAAAATAAGAAAGAAAGAAACTATATAAAATGAAGTTTAAGTATATAGACCAATGACAAAAAAATTAATTTTCTATTTTGGGGGGCAAATGGTTGACTAGGGATGTTGAAAAAAATATTTTGATGATTTTAATATTTTTCGATTACTATGAAAATTTTAAGGGTTTTTCGAAATGTGAAATATTAATATCAATTTTGAAAAAAATATTTAATGGGATCCAGATGTTTTAATTGTGTATGATATCTACATTACATGCTTTATTCTTTTTTTCATACCAAAACAGAACTCTCGCATAGGTCTCTTCCTCTAGCCTAGAGCCTACTTGTCATGCCTCCATTAATTTTTCAGGGTCACAGTCAGGACTCACCCTGCACACATGCCTTTACCATCCCAACTGTCTCTTCTCTACATCCTCCTTCATTGTAGGAATGTTTAGTTCTTTCTGTATTGTTTCATTCCTAATGAAACAATATGTGCATGTTTTTGATGACACTCTGCACAAGTTATTTCATCTCTGCTGCAGTTATTTGGCTCCATTTGTTGTCTGGAAGAACCCAGCTCTCTGCTCCAGATAGCAAAAAAGGCATATAACATGTGCCTTGGCATATAACATAAAAGGCCTTGAACATGTGGAGCTTGACGTCTAAATTGATTTTCTTTTTCGTACAATTGTGTTGCTATGGGAATAATATATACTATTAGCTTTTCCTACCCTGCGGGGTATTTCTGGTTGGGCTTTTCCATTTTCCCTGATCACAGTTCCATGGTAAGAGAACTCATTCATGACTTCAAGCTTCTCCTCATTGCATGTTATATGGATTTGTTTGGGCTCTCGTCCTACTTGTAGGATTTAGCTTTTTCTACCATTAATATTCATGCCCTTCCTTCCGAATTCTGCTCCCCACTCTACTAGGGCTTGTTTGAGGTTATTTGTAGAGTCAGCTATGGGGACTATGTCTTCGGCATATACCATTACTTGTATCAGTATAATTCTCGGGTTCCAATGACCAATTACAGCTCTTGCTGTTCTTCTCTAACAAATTTTTTTATTTCATTCATAAAGATGATAAACAGTGGGGGACTGAGACTATCTACTTGTTTTAATCCTTTTTTTTAAATAAATTAAATTAAAAAAAAATAAAATCAAGTGATTAATGAAAAATAAAATCCATGAAATTTTGTTAAGTTGCATAAACTGTGCATAAATAATAATTTATTTGTTATTAATATAGGAAAAATAGAAATCAAAGAATTATGAATCACTATGAAAATATGTTATTTATTATTTTTTTAAATCAAACAATGAACAATAACCTAACCTAATATAAGCACTTTGGTATCGAAGAATAAAGTGTAACTTAAACTAATCCAAACATTTTAATATTGAAGAATTAAAGTAAATAAAGTGTAAACATTAGTGTTAGCAAGTAAGAATGTATCCAGCTCAAAACCAAAGATGGGGCTATTATTTGCGAAGAGAGGCAGTTGATTTCAGTTTGGAGAAGTTAGTCTTAATTTTGTTATCAGTTTCTTTTAAAATGTTCTAATACTAAGGACCAAGCTGTTGAGCAATTTTCTAGCTATTTTATTTAAAATATTTTTAATGTTAGATGGGGAAGGATAGCTGCCGAAACTTGTCCTACCATAGATATGCCAATGATTGCAAGGTAGTTCAATTGTTTACATATTCAGCTATTTCCAGCATTCCATGTACAGTGAGAACAATGTGATCATAGCTCATGTGCTATCCGTAAGTAATACTTGTGAACAAGAACAATATATTTTAAACTATACAGAAGTTTTCTAATTATAAAAATATAGACACATTTCACATTATGTGCAACAGCACTAAGTTCTGTGGCACTTAACCAATTTTTTTGATCTAGGTCCAAGTAAACCAACTAGGGTTCTAGTTATCATTGACATTTTAACACTAGTAGCCCCCTTGCTATGGTATAGTTTTAGAACACCATGTACATCCATGCAAAACAAGTGTCATGCACTGGACTTGAATACATTTGTTGTTTCAAAATGAGACTACATGTATCACAATTGCTTATGTCCACCTAATTACTTCAGAACAGAGTTTCACAAACCCCAACAGATCTGAACAAGACTGGTATCACAGACAACACATGTGAAATTACTTAAGAGATAAACCAAATCTAGTTAAAAACCTTAAGAAAAGAAAACTTTTTCAAAGAATTGTTGAAAAACACAGAAAAATGTTGACAATACTAACTATAAATAAGTATTTACAAACAAATATTTGTTTGGGAATCAAAACCAACCCGAATTCTATTTATTTATCAAATACATTCGTTTAAATAGTAATGGATATCCATATACTAAAGTAGGATTTAAAATCAGACACCTTAATCAAAGATACTAAAAATGTACTAACTTTACTTGGGTTACTATTTAACTTTAAATTCAATTTATATTCTTAAAAGTTTAACACCAAAATGTTATCAGAAAATTGCATCTATTATCTGAATATAATATTTAATGGAAAATAATGACTAAAACCTTTTTACCTTTACAAGAATAGAAAGGCTTTCCTTGCAGAAACAGTTTAAATATTTTATTCAACATATAACAAAATTAGACATTATTTACTTCTGATTTTTGAAGAAGAAACGTTAAAAAAAATTAAGATGCGAAAAGTAACGATCATTCTAAATTACACTTATGTGTAGTAGTTCACGAATGTTAACCAAGGAGATTCCATAATATAGAATTCACATATTACATTCTCTTTGGTCGTGATATGAATAAGTGTTGAATGGATATTCAAGTGTGCGTGGATAAGTATGTTACACATTTGTGTCGTTACCAGCATTGAGTATTGAAACACTTTAAGATGAAACCACTCCCCCACGACTCGAAGATGTTATAGAAGAACACGTTGGGGCCTATACACGTTGAGAGGTTTTGCAGTGAAAACAAGCGGGAAAATGACACTGAGGAACAAAGCCACACGGTTGTTAGTAGGTTTGGTGGGGGAGCTGAGCGTAGCGGAGTCAGCTTCCAAAACCGAACCCCGGTCGACCCAAAGCTGAGCTGAGCTGAACCTTGCTATGCCGCCGAACTGCGCTCAGCTCAGCTCCACTTCTGGTGGCCAACCTTACTTTAAAAACCTTTGGTTCGGTTTTGAAAGCTGAATCAGCTAAGCTCCGCTGCACTTTCGGTGTCCGGTCGGCCTTAAGCTGGTAACCTCTTGCTTACTTAAACCGGAGCACAAGCTAAATATTGTAAATCAGTATCTGTTCCCGGGTCATACTTTACCCTGTCCAAACTGTGCCCCTCATAAAGCTGCGTCCTGCCATACTTGGCGACATCGACGACATGATACACAGGAGTGTGAAGGCCATTACTGGACTGTCTGCGAACACCTTCACGGCGATGTTATACGCTCCCAGAAAGTGCCGAGGATTAGGATTAATCCGCTGCCAATGGAAGGCTCTTCTGCAACATTAATCTATTTCTCAACGACTGTCCATTGTACCCGATGCCCTTTTTCCGTCAACTTTTGATTATTCGGCTGAGGTTGCTGAATGTGCCGAGATATTGGGGGTTGATCAGAGACATCCGAATATGAGAGCTCTATGGCAGTCACTACGATAATAATGGTTTGATTCTATCCCTGCATGTTTTTGAGGCCTCTAGGCGTAAGTATTTCATCTCGATGGCAGTTATTCGACTCCATTTGTTGGCCGGGAGGACGCAGCTCTTCTCTCCATATAGCAGAACAGGCATATATATATGGCCTTACAAATGTGGAGCTTCACATCTTTATTTACCTCTTTCTTTTCTACGACCAGGCTGCTAACGGAATAGTATATACTTCTAGCTTTTCCTATCCTGTGGGATATTTTTGGTTGGACTTTTCCATTTCCGCTGATTACATTTCTAAGGTAGGATAACTCATTCACGACTTCAAGCTCCTCATTATTGCACGTTATACGTATTTCTTCGGGCTCTCGTCCTACTTGTAGGATTTTGCTTTTTCTGGCATTAATATTCATGCTCTTCCATCCCAGTATTGCTTCCCATTCTACTGGGCTACAGGGCTAGCTGGAGATTATCTGTAGTCAGCGATAAGGACAATTACTTGTGCCAGTATAGTTCTCATATTCCAATGACCAGCTATAGCTCTTGCTGTTTTTCTCTTACAAATTTTTATTATTTCATCAATAAAGATGATAAGCAGTAGAGGGATTAGACTGTCTCCCTGCTTTACTCCTTTTTCCATCGGGAAGCTCTTCGTCTCTAGACCATTAATTCTCACAATACCTTTTGATGCTTGGTATGTTGATTGCTTTGCGAGTAACAAACCATTCGGCACGTTATTTGCTCTCAGGGCTTTCCATATTTCTCTCTATTGCTACTGAGTCAAATGCAGCTTTGATATCTAGAAAAGCGAGGTATAAGCTTTATCAGCTTGAAAACTTTTATCCTTTGTATATATCTATCTTTTTTTATTTTAGCATGCATATTCAGATCATTTTAAATGCCTTGTCGCAATTAAAACTGTAACGAGACCAAATCAAGAAACAAGAATGTGTAAAATGGTGGAGAACGAATTCGAATCAGTCTTAAGCCTCCAACACGAGAATCTATTGATGATCTATGAATACTTTTTAATGAATAACGAGTAAGTATATTTTCTTCTTATATGGCGCAACATCTTGTAACATTTGTTAGAGCATATAATTATGCCTTGAATTTGTATTTTAATAAATCACTCTCTTAATGTTCTGGACATTTTATTGCCTCATTTCAATGAAACAATAAAATCATCAATCAAAATTTTCACTTCAGTTCCCAAAAGCTAGGACCTCAGGAATCCGGCTACCAAAACTTTTTTTTTTTATTGGATTACTCTATACACACCATTTCTGGCATCCGGGGGTTTGTTTTAGAGGTACAACCAAACCTATTCTAATCAGAATGAGAAAATCTAATTCCATTCCGTGGGTCTGCCATGAAATAAGTGTTAACTCTTCCCAGGCTGGATTCGCACCGACGTCGCTGGGCACGAGAATGCTACAACGGGAAACGCTCCGACACTCTCAGCCGTCACATTCTTCGGGATACTAAATTCTAAAATCTGAAAGGTACGGATACGCGGCCGATATATTCATATATATATATGTATATATATCGGTATAATCAAACTCAGAAAGTCTGCGTTGCAGGTATTCGAGGAGGTGCCCTTCGACCTCATTCTGTTACGAAACAATATCAAGTACGATTAAGAGGCCGCGATTCAAAGCATTCAGTGAGAGCCAGCGGTAAAGATAGATGAAGAATCTAGTAAAAGAAAGTGTTAAGGCTAAAACAAAACGGTGGGTTGCCTGAAAAAGAGGGAATAATCTGACGTATTGTTTAACTACATCCTATTCCAGAATGATGATCCACCCCGGCTACTATTATTCAATGATCCAGATGAGATACGGAGGTTTCGGGAAAACCAATACCATTTTCGGTGCAGGTAGTTGATAAAAATCTAGTTTATCCCTTATGGTTTGAGGAGTCCCACAAAATAAAGACTTAGCCACTGAGAAGAGCTTTGTTTACTTTTTCAAAAATGTCATGCCACTTCTTCCAGTCAGGCATGGAGTTGGGGGTGTTAGTTATAACATTCATAAGTTATAACTTATGAATTTGTAAAAAAAAAACAACTAATAAATGTGCACTCAGGAATATAATAACATCAAATCTCTTGTTGAGAAACTACCCACTGATAGCACTAAAATAATAAATTTACACAAGAAGATCACGAAGCCACCTTCTTTTCAGACACCTCAGAGGATTATCAGTGATCGAGGAGGAAGCAAGGTTTGAAACGAGAGGATTCCGATGGCTCTGCAGTTTTTTATGGATGGATAGGTATCTGGATTGGGCCAGATCGGAAACATATGGAACATTAAGGTCTTTATGGATGATTTTATTTGTGACAAAGTAAGGAGCGTTGAGGATTTTACGAAGGATTTTGGATTGTAAGGATTGGATACGAGAGGAATTCGATGGTTTAGTGGAGCCCCAAAGCTCAATTCCGTAAGTCCAAATAAATCTTATTATTGTCATATATATGAGTCGTTTGTAATTGATTGATAGCTTAGGGCGTTTGTCTAGTAATTGTTGGAGTAGTCGGAAACGTCGAGCGGTTTCTAGTCGTTTCAGTCTTGTATGAGGATTCTATGTGAGTCGTTTGTCCAGGAAGAGTCCTAGTTTGTCAGGAGGTAAGGGATTTGTTCAACTGGGATAAGTGGGGAATTGTTAAAGGATACTGTAGGTCAGGAGGTCATAGGTTTGCGACGCAGGGTAAAGGTAATTTGATGGGATTTGTTGGAATTTATTTTAATTCTCCAGTTTTTACACCATTCTTCAAGGTTTGTGATATGTGATTGGAGAGTTTGGGAAGCAGTTGATGAATCATTATTAACAGACAGGATGCATGTGTCATCAGCATACGTGGTGATGGCAGTGTCAGGATGGGTTGGGATGTCAGCTGTAGAAACTGTGTAAAGGATAGGACCAAGGATACTACCTTGAGGAATCATAAGTTTTGATGAATATTTTGATTGCTGATTGATTTGTAAATGATCCCATGTTGAAAATATTATTTTTGACTGAACGCAACAAACACTATTGTTATATATAGAAAGGTTTTTCTAACCAGGTGTTTTTTTTTTACAGAATTGACTTGTGTGAAAAATCTGTTTTCTGTAAATTAGCTGAAATACAATTATTATTTTTGATTCGCGTACTTTTTTCTGATTTTGTATTCCAAAAAAGTGAATTTGAATTTTGAAAATCAAATCTTTACCATATAAAAAGTTATTTTTTCAATGCCGGAAATAAATTTGTCTATCAATTTTGTTTCGTACCTCAAGTTCTTCCGCACCACAAGATCTCATACTCAGCAATGTTCCCACCTTTTTTTTATTTTTAAAATAAACTATGATAGTGGAAGCATATACTTGTGTTATAGTAGGTATAGCTTATAGAATTCGAAAATCTCATTGTTACCTATAAAAGTAAGATATTTATAAACAATTCACAAATTATAAATGTAACATTTACTAAATTTGAACTTAAATGAACGTATAATTAATTACATATTGAAATTTACAGGATACACATAATAATGGAGTACGATAAAAACGGGACTTTGCATGATTTAATTTTAAACCTTTCAATCATTTCAGAAACAAAAACTCAGAAAATGTTCAAAGGTTTGTCTCTTGGATTGCGATTTTGTCATAAGAAAAGTATTTTTCACAGGTATAATTCCGAAATAATATCTCATTGTTCTTGTACAGTATTGATAATATATAATCCATCATAATACCTATGGTCATTATTCAGAAGGTACCTGCTACCAAATACCTCGGTACAGTGAACCTTATTTTATAAGATATTTGAACTGTATTGAAATTAATATCCATTAAACTGCTGTTTAATTACCTAACGGTCGGTGACTCATAGATATAACCGTTCTATATGTATATGCAGACTTTTTTTTAATTAATTTTATTAACGATTTTCTACAACTTAGTTGTTTTTCGCTGATCGATCAGCTGACGTGAACGGTTGTGTTTCCACCTCAGCTACCAGAATTTACATGTTTTCCAGAGAAATATCTGTTATTTTTTAATTAATGTAGGTCAAGGATCAACAAAACAGTTATATTTACAGTGTGTACAGCTAAAACAATTTATTTCTAATTATTTTTATTTGCCTTTCTTTTTTCTTCTCTTATAATATGCGGT